CCGCGCCCCCCTCGTGTGAGACTCCGCTGCATATGCTGATTTCTTCCAGGCCAATCCAGGTTGCCGGGCGCCCCATCACCACCCGGACGTAGGCGGAGAGGGGGCCCACCTCCGCCCCAAGAACACCCTCCACCTGGTAGCCCTGGAAGAGGATACAAACGCAGGCGGCGCCGGTTAAACAGTGACGGCGATTAGCTTAGCTGAACCCGTCGCTCCCGTCTGACTGATGAGGAGGAACTATCCGGACGGACATGCCCACGGGGAGCCCCCCCACCCCAGCCTGGCTCCTCACCATATAGCTTTCACCATGTTTAGAGATGGCTGTTGCGATTGCCAACCAGAGATAAGAGATTGAAAGATGACAGTCACATATTTAGCAACCACAAACAATACCTTTCTCCCTGGATTAAAAAGGCCAGTCCAACAGGTTCTACCAAGAAGGTAAACAAGCCTTTTCCCACTATGGCTGAGGGCCCCTCCCTTTCGCACGCCCAGCCTATGAGGAACCCTCATGCTTCTGATTGACAGTAAAGATCCCTCCCACACAGCGCTCATTCCCCACGTGCGACATCTGCGCCCATAAACGTGCCGTCGCACAAGGACCCCGCCCCGTCACCCACCTCGTGTCCGCAATCCGCCCAGCTCAGGATGGCCTGGATGGTTTCTTGTATCAACTGTTCGTAGAGACAATACAATATTTGCTTACTGGAAATTAGCATTTAACTGAAGCTCAATATACTGGATACACAAATGCCAATTTAAAGCCCATAACGTTTTCCTATTTTATGTAAATACCACTACAACTGCTGTGATCCAATCAGATCCCAGAAACCCTTGATGATGCAACTGACCTGCATTGCCGTTCCTTGACATTAGCTGACAGTGTGCCACCAAATTTACTCAAAGAGGATAAGAGGATAAGAGCAACTTTATCATCAGTAATCTCTAGATCTATTCCCATTCAGACTTTAACCTCTGGCCCAGTTGCTATGCAGTCATTACTGTTATTCTAAACTTCTGCAAGAAGAATCAGTTTAGTAAATATTAAATGTCTTAATGCAGCTAGTCTGAAACCCAATGTCATTTCTCTTAGATTCTCATCATCTTTCTCAATACAGATAGCATATAACTAGTTATTAAAACAACCAGCTGGGGTCACTTATTTTGTCAGCCGGTTTTCCAAAACATATGAGTCTTGTAATCTAAGCATTTCTGTCTGTAGTAGAATTATTTCTGCTAGATAAGAGAGTAGGCACCCATGCATGAGTAATACGATGTTTTTGGTTTAGCAGCTATAATAAAAGAAATGTAATACTCTAGATGTTATTTCATATTCCATACTTGAAAATTAACAGATGGGGGTCACTATTTTGTGAATTCAGTAATTGAAAATGATCATGTCCTGCTCTCCAAATCACACATGCTCAGATGACCTGGTTCCAGTTGCTATGCAGTGCCCATGCAGGCTGTTATGGTTATCCATACTACAGTC